GGTCAGCAACCTGTGGCCAGAGCCCAACATTAAACTGCGGCTCCGCGTGGCTTGGGAAAATAAATTATAACTATTTAACAGAAGTGTGTTTTACTTGTGTTAGTTCTTTTTTTCAACTAAGCAGTTCTAAACTGGAAAATTTTTGCATTATCTTAAAATATTAAAATAAAATTATATTTTATTATTTTTTGTTGCTCAAAATAAGCGTCACACTCACGGAAGCTGGTACACCCTCCAAAATGCCGTGCATTTATTGAGACTTTCAACCCCAGGTAGGCCAAGTATGGAGAAATGTAAGAAAAGAAAAATATCTGAAGAAAATAGAACATTTGTTGATGCCGGGGCAGATTCATTTGCATTTACTTCTGACAAGAGTGAGAAGCCTACCAGCATGCCTGATTTGTGGATTGTTGATCCACATACGTATGTGCGCAGCTATTCTCCACCGTGAGCTATGTTAAAAACAAACACCGCTCACGCCTCACAGACGACAGCTTACAGTCCTGCGTAAAGCTGAAAGTGACTCGTACAGCCCCGATTTGCAGACGCAGGTTCGGGACCATAAGTCCCATTGTAAACATATCATGGCAGACCCGACGATGTTTGCGTGAACACGCTTTTCAGCATCTCTTTATTGACCACTTTTCACACACAGTTGCTGCACACATGCAGCTGGCTTTAGCTTTCAGCTCACAGCCTGACACGTACCAACAACAACACAACAGCAGAGAGAGCACGAGGCATGATTTCGGATGCCACTCAGGTGCATCCGCCTCCTCGCAGCAGCACCGCAGACCACGCTCCGCTACACACATTAACCAGGTAAAATAAATCTGTATGCAAATGTTTTGCAAATATTTATTTTTCATTGTTTAGTAGCAAAGGGCTTATTTCCAGTTTAGTTTTTAAATTCAGGTCAAGGTTCGGCTACAGTCTCCGAAAGCCCAAAGGCGACATAAGGATGACGGCTCACAACATTTTTTATTTGATAAATGGATAATTTAAGTTTAGCTTTTTATTCATTTAAAAGAGACCTTCAACTCGCCATGTTTCTTTTTTGTTATAATTTTTTTAAGTGTTTAAAATGTTTGTGTGTAACAGGGTCATAAATCACATTGTTATAATTACACAAAATGTGT